GTGGTGGTAGAACGGTGCTCATCCGGAGCTGGCCCCGAGGAGGCAATTAACGAAAATTAGGCTACCCGCCAGGACCGGAAGACGTGCAAGACATATCACGGCATTAATCGACCAAATCGTGGTGTCCATGGCTAGTTGAGTGCTCAATCGAAAGCCCCAGCCATGGCGAGCCCAACGAGTACAAATTCGCGGGTGGCCGACGCGGTTGTGGGATTCCCGAGGCGGACGGAGTCGTGGCGGGTGGAGGAGGGTAAGGAGGCCTGGTGCGCAGGCGCCTGGGAGATGGGATGCGGAGGCACCGTGGGCCGAACGGGCCAAGCGGGCCAGGACCGCTTTTCACTGGCGCCCTTCTTCTCTTTTTCCCTTTCCTTTCCTCCTCCCCCCCAAGGCTCACCACTTCCTTTCCCACCTTTTGTTTTTTTCCCCCGTCGTTTCACCCACGACTCGCAGGCTGCGCGTTTTCTCACCAACCCGCGACCACAACCACGAACCATCGATACCGTCATTTATACAGCCATCTCCGACACGTCATCTGCGAGCCGCACCGCGTCCCCCGCGAGTCTCGCGTGTAAGTGCACTCGCCGACCCGTCCTCCCCCTGCCCGACACCCACGACCGCGCCTCCGCTCGCTCCGGCCGCGACCACAACACACCCGCCAGACCGCCACAACGCGTTTCCTTTGCCCAGCAAATGGTCCTCGAGGTTTTATAGGACCACTTGTACGGTTGAAGACAAGGTTGGCTGGATTTCAGCCCCACCGCGCAATCGGATCCTCGAATCTTGGGCCATGCCATTGTAGCCAACCGCCAACATGGTACGGCCTCCCGACGCGCTCTCCGGAGTCGCAGATCGCTGACTGGAGGTACAGGTTCTCTTCAAGCGTAAACCGGTGCAGTTTCTAGCCCCCAAGGACGTCAAGGATGATAATTCAGAGGTTCGCAGAGTGACATTCACAAATAATGCGACGAATACTGATGCAGGCTCCCAGGTCTGGCATATCCCACAGACCGGCGAGGTCTTTGCCCAATATGAGGATTATCTTACCAGGTGAGCTTTTTTTGTCGTCACTTTTTTGTTTCCTTTTCGGCTTCAGCTAATGCGGTGAAGAATGGATTTCTACAAACAGGTACGTCCCAGGCCAGGTGGGGCTACGGGCCAAGACTAACCCCAGCGCGTAGCGGCGCTTCATCTGCCAGATCACAGGACACTCAGGCCTGACTTTTTTCGAAGCACTCAAGAGCGAAGTGCGTCCCACCATCTTCCACTACCGCGCAAACCTGCTGACATGGCAATAGCTCGCCGGTGCCGAGGAGGTGGAACAAGCGTTTCCCGAAGCTCTCAAGGGCCCCGTCCTGCGTCGCGTCCAATTCCAAACGGTGTCCCGAATCGATGCGCTTGTCGACTTGGTGTTTGACGAGTTTAGAGCCGACTACTACCCGGGCGAGGCCGTGACCGTCAGCACGGCGGAGAGCGAGAGATTGCAGGGCGTCGTGCGAGAAAAGACCCGGTTCGGCGGCAAGATTTTGCCAGACGGCACCCAGACCGCCCCCTACACACGCTATACGGTCAGCTTGGAGGAACGCCCCGGGATCGAGGCCGTGGTCGACGATGACCATATTTTCCGCGATCGCAAAATATTTACAAAGTCGGTTCTGCGCTCCTTCATCAAGAAGACGGTGACGCGTGAGGCATGGAACGGAGCGCCGTGGCTCGTGAAGCACGATGTGGCGGCACAGTACCACATCGATTCCCGGGTCCCGCCTCACCTACGCTACGATACCAAGTTGATGGAGAGGAAGCAGCTGCAGGCCCAGAAGCGCGCCAGCCAGACTCCGACGCAGGACGGCAACGGCACCAACGGCGTCAACGGCGCCATCCAGAACGGCCCTGCGCGGCTACCCGAGCTGAAGCCCGCATTCAAGAGCCAAAAGGGCAAGCATCAATCGCCAGAGTTCCCTCAAGGCCAGAACGGCTCGCCAAACATGGCGTCCGAGGCCGGCATCTTCCACGCTCCGCCGCACAAGAACCCCTTCCAGCTGCCGCTCAACTTCCGGAATCAACCGCTACCGCACTCCATGACTGCGCCCGAGCCACCGCCGCCGCCGCCACCGCCAAAGTACCCCATTGAGGATCTCCAGGTGCCTCTGAGAGAGGGCGTCGTCAGACCCGCCCTGGCGTTCCTCTGCAACGACCCCCCGACTGCCTCCGATGTGGCCGTGAATGGCAACGCCAGCATACGCGACAAGCTGTCGATGAAGTCGATTGGCTCGTTCTTGGAGACGTGGGACACCCTGAATGTGTACTGCGAAATTTTCAAGCTCGACTCGTTTACGTTTGACGACTTTGTGGAGGCCATGTCTGTAGCATCAGAGGAGACCAAGGTCCAGCTGTTTGAGGAAATCCACTGTGCGGTGCTCAAGCAGATTGTGAGTGCCGAGGCAGACGGCGGCAAGGTGAACGTCCAGCTGCCCGAGCTAGAGGACGAAGAGGAGGACTCTGAGGAAGACGAGGATGAGGAGGAGACCAAGGAGCCGACCCCGGAAACCGATCGGCCGCCTGCAAGAGCCACACGAAGCAGTCTCGCCAAAGCCGAGGCCGAGAGGCTGCTGGCCGAGGCGAGGGCAGCGGAAAAGGAAAGCCAGAATGTGGAGCCCGAGATCAAGCACCGCGCCGAGGACCTCCTTGAAGAGTACGACTGGATTGAGGAGCTCAGGAAACGCAAGTTTCAAAACGGCGGCTGGGAGAGAATCGTCGTCGGTCTGCTGCACCAGCTCTCCAAAAATGAGAGGATGGAGGAGCAGTGCGAGGATTTGCTCGCCCAGCTGTGTCCCCCCGACGAGGACCCCACCCAAGAGACGGTGCAGGAGCACTATGCTCGACTCGACGTCAACTACCGTGTGCAGGCGCTGCAGATCATCTGCATGCTCACAACGCAGACCAAGGCGATGCGTACATACATGGAAGAATGCAGCGAGCAAATGACGGCTTTCCGCAAGGAAAAAATTGACTGGCAACGGCAGAGGAAGCAGGCGTAGGTGATACTAGACGTTTTGGTGAATGCATTACTGACCCCCCAACAGCATCGAGGAACTGCGTGCTCTCAACGACCAGCGCAAGATAATGCTCCCCGACAACATGCCGCCGTCGCCGCCTCCCGAGCCAAAGGCAGACGAGGATGTCAAGATGACGGACGCGGACGAGTCGGCAGCTGACGCCGCCGACGCCGAGGACGAAGTGGCCGACTCTGACGAGGAGGGAGCACCCCGCAGGAACTTCCGCCGTGCCAACGACCGCGCCGCGGAGAGGCAACGCAAGCGTAAGGAGGAGCTCGAGCGGAAAGAAAAGGCTGCCGAAGCCGCAAAGGCACCCAAGCAGTCGAAGCAGTTCCTTAAGGTCCTCAAGGATATCCAGAAGAAGGAGGACTTTATCAAAAAGTGCGAAGACGAGATCGCCGTGATCGACAACGACCTCCGCGAAGCCGACTGTGGCCGGACCCGTGTTTTGGGTAAGGACCGATTCTGGAACCGGTACTACTGGTTCGAACGCAACGGCATGCCGTACGGGGGGCTCCCGGATAGCTCAACCGCTGCCGCCGAGTACGCCAACGGTTGCATATGGGTGCAAGGCCCCGACGAGCTGGAGCGCCAAGGGTACATTGACACCGACCCTGAGTACCAGGCCGAGTACCAAACCAAGTTTTCCATGACGGTGCCGGAGCGGAAGAAGTTGGAAGAGGGGCCCACCAGCGTCTTCAACGCCCATCAGTGGGGCTACTATAGCGAGCCGGAGCAGGTCGATGAGCTCCTCAAGTGGCTGGATCCGCGGGGCTTCAACGAGTTGCGACTTCGGAAAGAGATCGTGGCGTTCCGGGACAAGATTGTTCAGCACATGGAGAACCGCAAGACATACCTCGCCGCCGCGGAGCCCGAGGAGCAGCAACAGCAGGAGGAGGAGAAGGAAAAGGAAGAGAAGGAGAAGAAGGGCAAGAGGCGCGACTCGAAGCGCATGAGCACCAGAGGCCGTCAGCACGAGCCGACGCCCGAACCCACAAACTACCGCTGCCTCGCGTGGGAGAATTCCACGGCCATGGAGGAGCTCGGCCATCTCCACTCGGAGCCGCCGCCGCCTCCGAGACCAAAGAAGCAGACGGCCAAGAAGCGACAGGCCGTGGAGCCGTCGCCCGAACCCGCGCCCGCTCCCAAGACGAGGCGGCGTAAATAGGCAGAGCACCCTGCTAATGATCGACTGCGGGCTGCCACTGTAGGCAGTCTCCGTCTTCTTTTCTTAACTGTAATTATAGACACGACGATACAAGGGACACTGCTGGCGCGCGGGTTGTGTGAGCCGATTCCCCCCTCCCCCCCACAGTTAGATATGGTTGGAGTTTTACGAGCCGAAAACGGGCCTGGCTGAAACAAAGAAAAAGCGGTGTTGTTTTTTTTGTGAGCAATCGAAAAGGGTGTCGTGCCACACACAGCATGGCCCGACGTTGGTGAAGGATTTCCATTGAGCATTGGGCGGGCTGGCTGTATCTGGGCGGACGGCGCATGTGGTCTCTGCATATTCACTACATGGGACCAGGATTATAGACTCTCCAAAAGAATCATTTTGATGACGATGGCTTTTTTAATATTGTTACCAAGTGAGTTGCGAGCCCTGGTGATGTATTTTTCTATCGATCAGTCTGGGTGCTGCGATCTTCGCCCGAATCTGGGCCTAGGATGGCGAAGCTCCTCACCAAAGATCTTTGCCGGCATGAGACGTGACGTGTATCCTGCTACTGCTCTTTACCTATCTACAGAGTGAGTCTGTCTGCCACGTACCAACTGGGCTCGAGGCTTACATGTCAACACATGTCGGTACGTCTGTTAACGGAGCGACTAGCTGGGGGTTTTCAAGTTGCGGAGGTTTCAAAAGCTGCGGAGATTTCCACAAGGTGAGACCAATTATAGTGTGCTTCTTGGTACTACCGCCAACTTCTGAGAGTATGATGAGCGACCTCAGACTGGAGTTCGAGTCCCTTCCAGTGTCCTCGACTGCTTGGTGCCGTGCTCGGGTCGGCCTGTCCTTTGTTTCTTGCAGGGATACTCTAGTAGGCCTGGTGTCGAATGCTTGCGCTTTCTTGTTTGGCTTTGCGTGGCTGACGAGTAGCTGCACAGCGAGAGCGTGCGTGAAGATGCCTCGTCGTCGGAGAACTTGTCGTCGGCGTCATAATCGTAGTCTTCGTAATCGTAGTTTTCAGCATCGTAAGTTTCGTCGTCGTAGTCCTCATTTTCGTAAGCTTCATCAGATGCCTCTTCGTCGTCTGCCTCTTCGCAGGCCTCCTCGTCGCACTCTCTACTGGCAGCCACCGGATAAAACCGCTTGCGAGGCATATTCGCCGTCCACTCAAAGTCTGCCTCATCCTTCCACCAGTGCCCGCGGCGCGCCCTCTCGAGATACTTGGACGGAATCTCATACCCGCTCACGCGCGTGGGCTGCTCTTCCGGGACCAAATGCCTAAAGTTGTACCGTCGGATTTCCTTGGAGAGCTCGTCGGCCTTTTCGTTGCCAAGGATACCAACGTGGCCGGGACACCAGCACACAGCGACCCTGATATCCCTCTCATCCCGCAGAGAGCCGCACGCCTCAAAGGCGCGTTTGACGAGGGGGTCCAAGGCGCTGGGGTACGAACCCTCCGCTGCGGCGAGCGTGTTCATGACGTCTTGACAGTCGGAAAAGACCGTCACCCATCTCAGGTCCGGCATCAGATGGGCCAGCAGCGTCGCCGTCTCGAGCGCCGCGACGACGGCGAAGAGTTCTGCTTGGCGGGGGCTGTGGCATGCGAGGATCTGGAATGCGCGGGAGTGCCACGGGTCGGCGGGGTCTATACACGGCCACGGCTTATAGAAGACGGCGGCGCCTGCTGGCGCGGACGGCGTCGAGGGGCCCTTGTGCCAGTTGTGTCCGGGGAACGAGGCGTCGGCGAAGAGGTGGAGGGTGTGTTGGCTTGGGTCCGCGATTGATGCACACGTAGGGCTGATGCGGGCTAGATGGTTTGGCAGAATGATGAGGTCGCCTTTGAACGTGAGGCTGGGAGAGGCGGTGGTCCCTGTTGAGGTTGCCGTATGATCCTGTACCGGAGGATTCGGTGTAAGTGTAGGTGACTCCATTCCGATTGATGACGATGGCTGGGCTATATTTTCGTGAACCTCCATACTGGCCTGTCTTGCGAAGATGAATTCAATTACGAGCAGTATCCAGCGGCCCTTAAATTATGCTCAATGAATACAGACGGGAAGGATTGTGAGGGACGTTGAGGACAAGCATCCTGGGCATGGGCGTCCAGAGTCATAGAATTGAGCTCATGTATCTCCGGTGATTATCAGCCCGTCCAATGTGACCCAAGATGACTGCAAATCTTAATCTAGGCAAAGACCCATCATCTTTGATCTCATTGAGAACCGTTATGTCTTGGAGGCTTCGGGTGCACATTGGTTTAGATTCAGGCGAGCAACCTCTTTGGTGGAACGATTCCATATTATGAATGGACCACATACACCAAAATCATGTCCAACCGGTACAACAAATTTCGCGATAGCTTCATTTCAGTAAAGAGGTGGTCGTGGCCATCTCGCGCGTTGTCTCGCAATGACGTCATGGGTCCAGGACCCCTACTTTACTGCAGCGAGCTAAACCATTTCCGCTACCAGACCCGCTTCCATCGCATTCCCTTTTCGGAATGCGAGGTTCCGCCTACTGTCTGATTTCATCTCACTCGTGGACTCTCCGCCACGGAACAGACTCACTCAACTTCATCCTGTCGACAGCTTCTCTAGCCAAATGGGCAATCATCTCATTCTAAATGAATTTCCTGGCTCATCGGTGCTCAAAAATCTCACTTCGTCCCTCCCCTGCAAACCCCCTTTGAACCACTACACGGGACGACCTCGACGATGCCAGCATCCAACCCCTCCACCTCCCCAGACGCCACGCCTCTGACCCTCCGCTTCATCGATCCCGCTGACCCAGAGCCGAAGAGGAAAAAAGCTCACAGGAAGAGCAGAGGAGGCTGCATACCATGCAAAAGGAGGAAGGTGAAGGTAATTGGTCCCAATGTCTCTCAGTCGAGGTCACCCAGACTCGCAAGACTTACACGGGATCCAGTGCGACGAATCAGCCCCCTGCGCGAACTGCATCCGCCGCAACGAACCATGCACACGCCCGCAAAAGTCCTCCGCCCCAGAGACGACGTCGTCCTCATCGCCCGCCGCCGCTGCCGCCGTCGGCACGGGACCGGCACGGCCGGTAGACGCCTCGGGACGCGTGAACCTCCTCCACATGCAGCTCCTCCACCACTTCCAGCATGCGACGATCCCCACCCTCTGCTTCGCCGACGTCTGGGCGTCTGTCCTCCCGCTGGCCTTCCGGGCAGAGTACCTCATGACGGCCATCCTCGCCGTCTCGGCGCGGCACCTCAGCACTCTCAGACCAGAAGACGCCGTCTACGGGGAAGCGAGCCTGGCTCTCTTGTCCCGCAGCTGCGCGCTCTTTGGCGCCGAACTCGGCCGTGACGACGGGGCTGGGGGAGGGTACGACTCTCTCTTCTTCACGGCGCAGCTTATACACTATCTCACGTGGTGTAATCTGGAGTTCATCGATGGCTCTGACAATACCGACACCACTCTAGACCAGTCCCGGGACCAACTCTTCCTTCTCAGCTCCGGCGTGAGGGTCTTCCTCTTCGGGACCCGGGCGCAGGGCCAAGACAGCATCTTTGCCAAGGCATGGCAGGACGCCCCGTGCGACGCTCTCGACAAGATCGTAGCGGAACAGGGCATGGATCGCGGCCGGATCCAGAGAGCCTTTCTAGATCGATACGATGAGATGACACCCAGAGGCCAAGGCACCACCCCGGAGCACCACAGCAACGCGGACCGTCAACGCGCCGCCTTCACCGGCATCGTGGAGCGGCTGTCCGTCATAATGGCCCTCTGGCAACACCGCAGCACGAATCCCCAGCTCCCCGCGACGCCCGATCTCGAGCGGTACGTCCTCGCCTTCCCGCTGTTTTGCTTCGGCCCGTTCCTCGACATGATTGTCGCAAATGACCCGAGGGCGCTGCTTGTATTGTACCACTTTTATGAGACCTCGCGATTGCTTCTCGGGGAGGACGACGAGGAACCCACGTGGTGGGCGTGTGACAGACTCAGTGCCATGCCAAAGATGCTTGAGCAGGAGTTGCGTAGGAAGGGTACACAGCCTGTGGTGATGTAATCCGGATCTCGGGATGAGCCCGTTGTTTGATTCAGGATTATGGCAATTGAGCCAGGGACAGACTTTCGTCACAGCACATTCCTCGCGTGGGGGATCGCCAGCCCTGGCCAAAACAAAAAAGACGCTACCAGAAAAGATAAGCAAGAGAAAAACAATGGCCTTTCCAAGGTGGCGAGAAGATTGAAGAATGTATCGTGGAATGCGGACCCAACCATCTATCGAAAAATCGCATACCAACCACCACAGCAAGGGACGTGAGAAAGAATTACCGCCTACAATCCCCTCTCTACTAGCAAAGAAGCTTCGTAAGTAGTCCAACAAATCATTCCACTACCAAGAACGCAATCCTCCGACTACCAGCGAGGCCGTCGCAGACTCTATTCCCCCTCCCCATCCCTCCCTCTTCACGCGCCGCCGCGTCTAAAAGTGTATGCCAGTCCAATGTGGCGTGCCGGAGCAACCCACCCAAAGTTGCCAAAACGGGCCAGCTGAGATGCAGGGAGCTCTCCCGATACGGTTAAAGCGCAGGATAGCTGGGCTAGCTCCCAGCTTAGCGGTACCTCTTTCAACCACCAAACAAACAGCAAAACGCACGACCTTTGGAGGTTGCTAAAAATCCTCCCGCCTGAAACTCTCAGCATTTCTGTATCGGTGGCAGGGCGGGCTAGACGGAGCTAGAACGGGGGATCCACATTCGCGGGGTCCAGAACCGCGCCGGTGATCGCTCGACTTACAAGTTAGACTTCTTTTCTTAGCCCGGCGTCCGTGGTGGCGCTGGCGTCGGTTCCCTTTCTTCACGATAGCGGTCTCGAACAACCATTGTAGGGTGACGCTCCATTCCGGAGACTTGGTGATATAGTATTGATGAAAATGTTTCTTCTCTGTGGGTATCAAAATAGATGTGACAAAACAAAACTCCGTTTACACACTTTTCCTTCCCGTGTGCTCCCTATGCATTTCTACCTCGGTCTGTACCTTTCCCATAACGCTCTTGTAATGAGCCCAGGGGCTCCCAGCCCCAGCTCAAACGGCCCCCTCACCGGCTGGCCTCTGTTGGACGATCTCGCCGGCAGGTATGGCGGGGGCGGCGACGGGCTTCGGGGGGAAGACACCGTTGTAGTGGTGGTTGTTGCCGTGGGGGACGCCGGCGGGGCCCCTTGGAGGTACTCGCTCAGCTCGCTAGTGTCCATCCCAGGCCTAGTGGCGTCCACCACATGGCTCGTTTGGGTGGCCGGGGCCGATGGGTCTTGATCGACCGTGCTCGCCGGTGATAGCGGGCTCACACTCGCATACTGATGCGCAGATGTCTCATTCCTTTGCGCCGTGCTGGACGAAGCTAGGGCGGCGAGCTCGAGGTCCTCCTCTGACCTACCCGCAGCGCCCCGCACGACGACGCCGAGCAGTCCATCCGTCTCATCCAACGCCCCCATCTCCTCCCGACTGGCCCGGCTTACTAGTGGAAAGTCCACCGAGTCTCTCAAGTGTGCTCCCAGCCTCATCATGGCAAAGGCGTCCAAGGTGTCGGTCCAGGTGGGCAGGCTGTAAATGTAGCAGACGAGGATGACAAGTGCAATGGCTTGCATGCTGATGAGCAAGCTAATGGCGACGGTGGCGCCTACGGTGTACCGCGGTGCGACAAATTCGGTGCCGGCCAAGTTGTAAATAGTCCTCGCCGCGTCGTTGGATGCTGCGTCTTGTAGGACGGCCACGTTGGACAAGTACATGCCGACGCCGAGAGTGCTCTGTGCCACCTTGACGTACTGAAGGCCTTGTGCGATCCGGAACAGTGTCTTGGGGAGCTCGGCAAGCGAGCATCCCTGGTATATGGACGAGTACCACGAGTCGTAGTCGTCGTTGTGAGAGTTGTACGGTAGCTGCCACGCACCGAGGGGCGTCGGCAAAGAGCACGCCCTGCGTTTCGCATCGCTGTTGGACGTGGTGTTGTCGGGCACTTGGCCATCCGGGAAGGTCTGACTCAAAAGATCGAGTACAGCCTGTGGGTATGAGCCGTTGCCAAAGAGCGCCTCGGCTGTTGACCGCAACGGGCCTTGTACAGAGGTCCAGCCAGAGAATTGGTCGCGGTTCCAGTCGTCTTCAGACTCTTTGGTGATGAGGTTACCCTGCCAATCGTAGTCGTGGAAATGCGCTGCCATGTCTTCGTCCGAGGGCCACTCGCTGATGATGTCGGATGGAACAAGTCCCGTTTGAAGGTTGCCAATCTCGAAAAAGGCACGGCTGGTTTTGGCGACACACTTGATGGTGACGTTCTGAGCCGGTTCCGATAAGAAGTCCTGAGTCTTTGCCGCCTCTGGACTAATCTGTGCCTCAATGTAGAGCACTTCATCGACGTCTTGGCGTCGCCTCGGGGGGACCCTACGAGGTGCAGAGCTGGTGTTGTTGCGAGGCATGCACGTTCTCACACTGATGCCGAAACCTTGGAGGGACGTTGCATACCCGTCGCAGTTGGCGGGGTACTCGTCTGCAACCTGGCAGGCTGCGGTTGAGCTGAGCCGAATCGAGTGCTGTCGGAGAGGTCCCGTCGTGACGCCGGCGGGAATTGCTGATACCCAGAAAGAGTCGTTGTACGTCTGGTCCTCTCCCGTGACGAAGCTCCGGTGGTTGTCGTCGACTCGCCACAGGTTTTCTTGGATGTCGGCTGACGTGATGTTGACCATCTTCGTTCTGACTGTGTTGACGATTTGAGATGCATTGGACTCTCGGAGCAAGACGGGCTCGGCATCCTTGCCAATTGTCTGGGCCGGTTGTCCCTTGCCGTCGCATGTTCTGTCCCATTTGCTCAATGGTCGGAGACTGTCGCACGAGTACACTGGGCGGCTCGATGGCGGCATCAGCAGTGACTGTAGTGGTGGCTGCACGGCAGCTGTTGCATGTTAGA